AATTGGCACATAAAACAAGATTACCCACTGAGTGAATGCATTGAACAGCCATACACCGCACCGCAGCATTCGAAGGAAATGCGGTTCGCACATGCGCGCCATTTCTTTGTTATCTGCGCCGCAGCGCCAGAAATTGAGATGCACTGTACAGCACAGTTTACCAAAGAAGATGAACAGAACGAAGTTCGATTGGGCCGGGCGGGAGGTACGCTTGACTCCCCTCCCTCACCGCACTGCACTGCACCCGCTCTCCGCGTCCGGCTCGAATCTCTCGAGCAACTCCAATGCCAACGAAGGTTCTGTGTACCATCACGTGGCACCGTTCCTCACCGTTCCTCCATCATCTCTGGCTCACCCTGGCAGTGCACGCTGCAGCGAACCCGCCTACTTCGCAAATGCCAAATGCTGGCCTAGAAGTATCGTCTGCTTGACAGTGCTGGCGGCAACTTGGCTTGAAGTGCAACCTCCCCTTCCTCGCTCTCAACAATGCCTGCACTGCAGCAGCATACCTTCCTTGCTCGGTGGATTACCGTGCCCACCGTCCTCAGTGGTGCAATCGCATTTGATACGTATCCATCGACAGCGAATTCTCGAGGTCTCCAAGACCCATGAATTCCTCTAGATTCTCGGCATAGCTTTCAAATTTCCCACATTCCCACCTTCTGCTCTCCTCGGTGTTTGGGGCCTCTACTTCTCGCCATCGTGGTCGAGCCGTGGCATCCGTTCTAACTCAACGCCTTGATTACTTGTCGCCTGCGCTTCGGAACTTGGGACAATTCGAACGCCTCGAACGCGGAAAATTTCCTTGTCCTCTGAGGACAAGAATCTTCCGCGCGGGCGTCTGTAGTTGTTTTTGAGGCGCCTCAGAAAGAGACGCTTCAACGCGGGAACTTCTGATTGGTCTCTCAAATACTGATTTCGCCTCCGACAACCAGCACGTATCACGTGGACGGAGAACAGGGCCGTTCTTTATGAGCTTTGCGGAATCTTCCGCGACGGGCCGCCGGGATGCCGCCGCGGAGGGTTCCTCTGCGTCGCGCCGCGCGGCAGCATCAATGCCAGCCGTTACAGCAGCAGAAGGGCCGCGGCGCAGCGATTCGGTTCCGGTTATCTCTGCTCACGAGCTCACGCGCCGCTTCGTCTTCACGGATCTGCTAGGGGAGGGAAAGTTCGGCCGCGTTTGGCGCTGCTTGGACCGCCACGGCCCCACCAGCGAGCCGCTCGCGTGCAAGCAGATCCTCACCGCTCATCTCACGGCGGAGCAACGGCTGGCGCTTCACCGCGAAATCGCCGTCTTGCGACGCCTGCAGGGCCACCCGAACGTGCTGCGACTGCATGCGATTTGCGACGGCGACGGTGGCGCATGGGACGGGTTTGGTTCGGAAAAAAAATCGTGTGGTTCGGACGCGTTTGGTTCGGGGTGGGAGGATGCGTCTGTCGCGATTCGGGAAATCGTTGCGCGGCCCGGTGTGTATCTCATTACGGAGCTGTGTACCGGCGGAGACCTGTTTGACTTGATTGACCAGTTTGAACACGGTGTGGACGAACGAACCGCGGCGGGAATTTTCGTCCAAATCGCGCGCGCTGTGGAATGGTGTCACCTACACGATATAGTCCACCGCGATATTAAGCCCGAAAACGTTCTTATAACGGGTCAAGAGCCGCCGTCGTCGCCGGCGTCAAAGCGAGCTTCTGATAGGCGAAGCATTTTCGCAAAGAACGGGATTTGCGGGCCGTCGTCGTCATACTCGTCGTGCTCTCCCATTTGTAACCCGGTCTCTACATTCTGCCCGTCCTTCTGCCCGTCTCCACCTCCCGCCGTGACTCCACTCGAGGATGAAAACAGCGTTCCCCAGAAGTCAACGCCTATTCTCGCGTCCTATGCCTCTATTCCAGCCTCCTCCTCATGCTCATCCTCGTTACAAGACTTTTCGCTGCTTTCCCCTTCGTCGTCCTCCTCATCTCCCTCCTCCTCTTCCTCCTCCTCCTCCGTCTCCTCCCATTCCTGTTCCTCCTCGCCCTTCCACGCCTTCGTCACCTCGTCTCCGCTTCCTTCTCCCCTTCCTTCTCCTGTCGCTTCTTCGCTTCCTTCCGCCGTCAAGGCACTTCATTCCAACAGCAATTCCGCCCAGGCGGTATACGCGCCGTGGGACTCGCCGCGAAACGCGCACCACAAGTCCGCGCGCGCGTCCATCTTTCCGTACAGCCGTAGCGATCCGTCAGGCAGCAATGCCGATGTTGCTGCTCAAGCTGCCGCCGCTGCTTCCCCTGCCGCCGTTGCCGCCGCCGCTGTTTCCGCTGCTGCTGCTGCTGCTGCGCGGGGAGTCACTTCGGCATGCTCCGCGTCGCCGCCAGCGGGCGCATGCACTGACGCGAGAGCTTCGCGGGCGGCCCTTCTCGCGCCAGCGATCCCGCGGCCCCAGATCGCGATTCCACGCGCTTACTCCGCTACGGAGATTTCTCCGCGCTCCTGTCATTCCGCCGCGGGAAAGGTCTCTGGCGAGTGCGCAGCAGCCGTTTCCCCGCAGGGCGTGGGTAATGACGGGGATGAATTCGAGAAGCAAATATATCCGAGCCTGTTTGGTGGGGCTCCCGAGCCTGAGGTTCGGCTCGCGGATTTTGGCATGGCGTGTGAGGTGCCTCCAGGCTCGGCAATCATGGGCCTGGCTGGCAGTGAACCGTACGAGGCTCCTGAAATGGTGGAGATGAAACGTTACGACCATCAAGCAGATGTGTGGTCCCTGGGGGTTCTCCTGCACACCCTCCTCTCTGCCACGTGGCCAGAATTCCCGGATGGAAAGCGTGAGCTTGTGCAGGAGGATTTGACGGTGCGCCCGTGGCCGTCGATTTCGGAAGACGCGAAGGATCTGATCCGTCGGATGCTGGTGGTTGATCCAAATGAACGGCTGGATATTCACTGCGTGCTTCAGCACCCGTGGTTGGTGAAATGGATGAGGAGGCAGAGAGGGCGGCCGCAGAGGGGAAATCGATATGCTCCAGAATCGCTTGAGCTGCAGGGGCAAGGGCATGTGAAGGAGCAGCTTCCGCAACAAGTGCAGCATCAGCAGCAGCAGCGGCAGCACCTGCAGCAGCAGCAGCGACAACACCTGCAGCAGCAGCACCTGCAGCAGCAGCAGCAGCAGCAGCAGGAGGAGCAGAAACTGACAGACTGTAAAGTTAATGAACTGCCAGTTACAGCAACTGGGCCGGCAAGAAAGCAGCGCAGCAGTCGCACCAGCTCCTCGCTGGCTATTCACAGAGCTAACTCCAGTGATAACATCCTTGCGAGTAACATAGCCACATCTAACACTTCTGCGCATTGCATTCTACCTGTTTCGGCCACTGCATCAGAAGGCCCTGGAACGGCGACTGGGCCAACAGCAGAGCAGCACAGCCAGCGGCAACCAAGCCAGCTGAGAGAGGCGCGTGGCTTGCCCCCTCTGCCGCCTGTGATCCATCCTGTTCGAAAACATGAGTCTTATTCTCAGCGCCCACCACTACCACTAAAGCTGCCTCGGCCACCAATGCTAACTGTGCAGCCATAGCCAGGTGAACGGAATAAAGATTAGGGGTCTTGATTGGTCGAGTGACTGGCAAACAGCCAGAATATTACGTTCTATCTTGTGGAAAGGTTAGGTACGTGCTATGGTTATTAAGTACCGCAATGCGTCGAGTAAATGTTGCACTTGTTTGCCAGCTGTTAAACTGGCACCAATCAGCGTTTAGCGTTAAATATATTCACTGAATAAAAAAGAATATTTCACTTAGGTGGTCTTGTCAACACTAGCTAACGTCAAGAAATAGCATTCTTCTATGTTTTGCATATGGGATTGTTGGTGGATGGAACACTAGAGCATTGTAGTCGTTATTAGATTGAAATTTGGCTGCTACACGTTATCTTCTTGAAACGAATGATAATTTTGTCTTGAATATGTGTCGCCATTGGCGCCAGCGAGTAATATCGACGTCACCTTGGGCAGTCCTGGCGTGGCGGCGGTGCCACTTGGCTCTCCCACAGGTCTTTTCAGTCTGACACCAGCAGTGCTTTGTCCTGGAAGAAACCTCTGTTGCACCAATGACCTGCGAATCGGCTCCAGATAGGATCCAAAACGCGTCTTTGCGACCACCAGGTGTACATGCGACACGATATCCTATCTGACAAATAGCGATGCGACGCCAGGGTGCTCATGAGATGGCAGGGTCGCCGCATTCGTTAAGTGTCCCTCTCCCACCTCGCTGTTTCGTTAGGATCGTGTGCGAGCGCGCATGCGAAATCCAGGGGAAACTGAGTTTCGCTTAGCTCTGAATGCGAGCCAACCGTGGGCCCAAAAAGAGAACCTCGCAATAATGGCGGCAACGAGGTTACTGTACCCGCTTTCCCCCTCTGTTGACACAGCATAGCTCCCTCTCTCGCCTCCTCTCGGACTTCCCTTTCCTTCACCTCACCTCTTCTCTTCCCTCAGCTACGACTCTTCCGCCCACTCTTCCCCCACATGCTCTCCTCTCCACTCTCCTATAGGTTGGCATTGTTGCAAGCTAAAGCAAGGCGAGGCTTTACAACGCTTACTGTTTGCGACCAGCCTCGTTAGGTTGTCGCTTTCACTAACCAGCAGCAACCTGTTCCCCTGACCGCCCAACCTTCCAACTTTCTGTGCACGGTTCCACATCGGTCTAACTATCCTTTCTACCTAGCAGATTGTTGACGTGCAAACCGCTCCCTAGCGCTTCGGTACGTCCGGCTCAGGAATATAAAACATACAGTTTCCATAGCTTTATTTAACTATTTAAGACAGTCCGACCTCTGAAAAAACTTATCTCGTGTCGCAATGGGTATCTTTCAGTGGTGGGAGCGGCCGACGGATTTTCCGCGCGTTATAAGCTGGGCGGCCAAATTCCCAAGGGACCGATATTCTTTAGGTGACGTCATCGCCAACGGATCCAGCGGCGCCGTCTTAGAATGCACAGACAAGGAGACTGGCCAAGGGTTGGCCTGCAAAGTGATGCTCAAGAACGCGCTACGAACAGAAGCCGACAAAAACGGCCTGCGGCGCCGGCTGGAGATCATGAAGCAGGCCGGCGCGCACCTGAACGTGGTGTCGCTCGTGGGCGTGTTTGAGGACACGTGTGCAATCTACGTGGTCATGGAGCGCTGCTTAGGTGGCGACTTGCTGGAGTACATCAGCAAAATGGGCGCGATTCCCGAGCCGCAGGCGGCTATTATGTTTCGGCAGCTCGCATCAGCCGTCGCCTTCTGTCACGACTATGGGATCCTACATCGAAACTTAAAGCCCGAGAACGTGTTTCTCACATATGGGACGGCGGACGACCTAAACTACGCGTCGCCCGCGCTCTCCTCCTGTAGCTCCTTCTCCTCCTCCTCCTCTTTCTCCATCTTCTCCCCGTCACTCTCCGCATTCTCTACCCCGCAAAGCTCCCCCGCGCGGCATGCAAGCGCTTCCGCCTCCCCCTCCCCCTCGTTCAATTCCCCGTCCCCCTCTCCTTTCAGCAGAAGCTCCGCTGCTTCCCCCGCCCCATCCAGCTCGCCCTCCCCCGTTGGCTCTTCCCCCAGTCTTCCCCTCACTTCCCCCTCGCCGTCCGCAGCACCTTCCGCCTCGCGCGCCCAGAACCCAGATTCCGGAACGCTTTCTGAATCCAACTCCGAGCCCCCCGATTCCTCCGCCTCTCCCGCCTCTGCCCCCGCCTCTGCCTCCGGCGCCGCTGGCGCCGCCGCTGCTGCAGGACCAGAAGCAGTACCTGCAGACGACGTTCCCGACGCAACCCCAGCCTTTTTCGCGTTCAACTTTCAGGGCCCCTTCGTGCGACTGAACGACTTCACTCTGGCTACGCGCCGTCGCAGAGGGTCGTACGTGAGCGGCGCGGTGGGAAGCCTGCCGTACAAATCGCCAGAGATGATTATGAAGGGTCGTTCCAACGAGAAGGCGGACATTTGGAGCCTGGGAGTCATTCTCTACTCCATGCTCTCGGCTCGGTGGCCTTTTTATTCGCCTAAGAAAGCGGTTCTTGAGCGGAAGATCCTGAATGGCCACGTTGACTTTTCCGGTGATCCCTGGCCGTCGATCTCAGATGACGCAAAGGATCTCGTTCGTCGGATGCTGGCTGTCAATCCGAACGAACGGCCGTCCGCTACGGAGCTGCTAAAGCATCCATGGGTGCTGAAGTTTCTTCTAGCGGAATCCCAAGGGGGGAGCTCGGGCGCTGATTCTGGCGCAGCAGGCACAGGTGTTGGGGGAAGTGGGGGGGTGGCGGTGGCGCAGCAAGTGAAGAACGGGAAGTTATCCGGAAGGGAGGTTACTGAAGAGGGATGGCACTGCAACGATAAGATGGGTGTATGCGATCTACACTTACAGGTGGCGAACAATTGCTGGATTATGCTCTCCAAGATGATGCCGAAGATGACCTGGTGATGATGACTAGGGTATGGGTCATCGATGGGCTAAAGAAGCTGCACCCTCAGCAATGGAGGTGCTTATGATGAGATCCGTGTGCAGCACTCCCAACTCAGTTATCCTACCATATTACGTTAGCAGATGCCTGCCAAACCTTGTACATCCACAAGCAAACCCTCAGGCCTGAAGTTCCATTGGTTCATTTTTGCCTCCCAGCATGCTTCTTGTAGGCTAGTAGCAAGGCACTTACTATGTACCATGTGTATGTTCATTGTTTGTACCATAGCCTTATCATCACGTCCTTCCAATAAGGTTTCTCAGAAGAACATTTGTTAGTGCTGGATTTGGAAGAACACACAGTAAGAACCCATTGCACTACCGTATTTTCCTAAACCCCCCTTGCAAACTAATTGGTATTAGTACGGTATAAGCAGCCTTCATAATCCTAGGGTAAGGAGAGCCTATCAACCATACATTTACAACCGATCAACCCCCTGCCCACTTCATCAAAGGGTCTCACTCTTCTCCAGCTTTGGCGTCCCACAAGACGTGCCCAGCACCTGCTCCCGCTTCTCATTCAGTGACTCGCTGTTGGCCCGTGTAAGATCCAGCGTCACCGATTTAAGCTTGCTCTTACCCCGCCGCTCCTGCACCGTTTTCCCTCCTTCCCCCATTCCCTCTACCCCGCTTCCTACACTGCTAGACCGACTGAAAGCGCCGCCGCTGAAATCGCTACAGCTGCTGGGTCCCTCCCACCCTTCTGAAAAGCTGTCAGCATAGGAACTCTCGTCTCGCCGGGCTCTATCTGCTGATAAAGCACCTGTTGATTCTGAATCGTAGCCCAAGCTCCCTGCCGAGCTGGATGACCGTGTACGGATAAGAGCGGCTCCAGATTCGCTCTTCAATCTTTTGTCCCGGATGTTTAAAAAATCTGGGTCAGGGTCATCGAATTCTATTTCGTTGGAAAATGATGAAGGTTTAGAAACCCTAGTCTTCACAGTCAGTCTCGAAAACTTCTCGTCTAGGTCCGCAAAGTGAACTTGTCGGGATTTTCGTGGAGCACAATGGTTGCAGAGAAGAGGCGATCCGGAAACTTGAGAAATGCGCCGCGGAACAATAGTAGGCGAATCGGACGGCGATGAAGCACCAATAGCTTGCTGTTCCTCCCCTCGGCTCATTCCTCGCTCGGATGGTGAGTTGTTGTTGTTGTCGTCGTCATCGTCGTCATCATCACGCTCTCGTAGATCGAATTTAAAATGTTTCGGAGCGGGAAGAGATTTTGCGGAACGGAGTGACGAGGTCGGAAGCTTGCATGAACAAACGGCGCAGCGACGTTCGCCAGGGGTTGATGACGATGGAAGAGAGTTATTCGCTGATGGTTGTGAAGGGCTGTCAGCAGGTGCCTCTGGATCGATGTAGAGGCTCGTCGGGGGATCATCCCCGGAAGAATTTCCCATCGTCCTCGTTGTGGAGACCTACCCGTTTCGCTAGTACAGTCTCCTGCTTATCGCGGCGCACGCTTCTCCAGCGTTAATGTGCTACGTTGCTTCGGCTGCGGTAACGAATGAGTCAAAACAAGCCGGAATACTCGTGATGCTAAGGACTTGCGTTAGGAGCTACACTGGCACAAACGATGCGGACTCTAGGAGTGACGGAAGTCTCGCCCGTTCTGCTACAACAAGCGACGAGAAGTTGCAATTTAGTTGAGACAAACGAGATCATTGAGACAAAGAAAGGCGCTCCACCTGGTCTCAGGGAGGGAATAGAAAAGGGGAAAGAAAGCTGGAAACATGGAGGACGAGGGGAGGCTGGTGGTTGTGGAAGAAGGGGGTGGAATTGTGGGGTTCAAGTGGGTGGGGAGGAACAGAACTGAACTGTACCTCGGAGGGGGGTCGGCTCGGCACTGGTGGTTTCGTGCAGTGCTGGTGAACGCAAGGGCCCCCAGGGTTGATGGCCTTCATGATTATCATCATGGGCATTTATCTTTTGTGTAACACTCATGGAGCTCAATCGCACTCGAGGTTAGCCACGTGTAAATTTCGTAACAAAGGTATCGTGTCCTCGCCACTGTGGTAACCATTATGCCTAAATGGTCAATACTTTTTGCCTGCATGGTAATGAAACAGTGCATCCGGAATTCCTGCCTGGTAACTTCGCGTTTCAACCAAACTGTACACCGTACAAGTGGGGTTTGACTCAGCGAAACGAAACTGACTGTCCACGTGTATTCCACAAAATGCGCATTTCTGTTTATTGTAGCGGCGTTTACAATCTCAACGATAAAACATTGCTATGCTAAACGTGATCTGTTTAAGGAAAATAAAACTGAAAACAGTAACTATTAAACAAACGACACAAAAAAACACAATTTTAAACTGCAAAGCTATTATAGTGATAAATATTTTGAAACACATTAGTTTACTCTACTATAATTTTACTTATATCTTTACAATTGGATCTAGATCAAGTTACCATAATTCTAATATAAATTTGAACAAATTTGCTTGCATATTACAGACATTGAAAGTTGCATACAAAAAAAACTAATTATTTCTACATTAAATAGTACATTTAATGCATGAACTAAACAACACGAAGATGTTACGAATACTGCTATACAAATTTTTATTTATGTTATTGCTACGACTTCATTAAAATCATACAGTAAAATGTTATGTCTGATTTCATTAATATACTTTTTTTCTTTTTATAGAGTGTCTGTAAGATGCTTGCTATTATTGTATCGCATACATGCATGTAGCGCTTTGCGTTTGTAAGAGTTCGTACACTAAAGAGAATTGCGCATTCTGCTGGTATATACGTGGACAAACAGTTTCGTTTCGCCTAGTCAACCCTACTTGTACAATGTACAATCTGTCTGAAACGCGAAATTACTAGCCAGGAATTCCGGATGCACTGTTCATTACCATGCAGGCAAAAATATTGACCATTTAGGCATAATGGTTACCACATTGGTGAGGACACGACACTTTTGTTACAAAATGTACACGTAACTTACCTTGGATGCAATCGAGCTCCATAACTGTTACCGCTAAGATAAATGTCCCTATTTCCATTCATCCAGCGAAGTCAGGCAACGCGCAAGAACGTACAGTAACATGTTTTCGTGAACCGTCGCATGCATGTGAATTCCTCTAGATGGCACTTCGACTTTGGTTCCTCTCGCAGGCCGGTTTCTGGGTAGGCGAAAATTTATCGGACGACAAGCAGGGTCATACCGTAAACGTACATCGAGGCTGGTTTGGATTTGAATCAGGCCTGGATTGCAGGGTCTAGTTTCCCACAAGTGATACTAGAAAACTGCATGTATCGCTCATCACTTTCTGAGGGTAGTCATCACTCAGTACTTTCTTGAAAGACGAGAAGAGTTGGTCAAATTAGGCCTAGTCCCTGGACAAGTGGTTAAATCTTACGGGGTCTCATTAAGTAATGCTACAAACAGCGCCCTGAAATTCCCCGAAGGCTGGAACCGCCTAACGCACCCAGCATCACGAACGGATTTTTTGTGAAACAAACCTGTAATTTGCAGAACCATCAGGGTCAAAACACCTTGTGGGTTTCCCAAGAGAGTCTCGAAACTCCCAAAAATGCTAAACCGTGCTGCCGTGGCGACACGTCATTGCTCATCTGTTTGCTGTCAATGGGGTACGGCAGCGTGGCGCGTGAGGCCCGCAAGCAGCATTTGTGAAATCTGTTAGGCCAATCAAATCGAGTTCTTCTTGCGCCACCACTTTTTTCCTCCGTTCCCCTGGATCACCCGTCCTACTTGCGCGCACTTTTTTTGCCTAACACGTTCCGCCAGCTGCAGGCAGGACAAGTGCCCCCTCCCGCATTGCTCTTTGCAGCAGCACCTCCTTGCTGCCATCACCCCCCCACACCCACTTTCTGATGCTCCGCGGCTCCACCCCTACCCCCACCCCTCCCCCCCCCTTCAAACTTCCTCCCGGCGTTCCCCATATCCCGCATGTCCGCATTTGTGTTGTATATCGCACACCAACACACACTCCATCCCTCTCCCTTTCACTCCGCCCACTCCGCCAGCCTTAGCTTCCTTCCATCCCACTCCCCCTCCCCCTCCACCCCAAGGTCTGTTCCCATTCCCACCCTCCAATTCAGGGGTGCTAGAAAGACCACTTCACTGCCAGCCTGCTAGCTTCTCCGTGCACACGAAACCCTACTCCAGAATGACAGCCAATCAGCAAATTCGACAGCATCTAGTGCCCAAGTTGTGAAGTATTCAGATGCATTTGTAGGGTTTAGTAACTTCAATGGTTAAGGGAAGGCCGAAGATTTCCACGTGTCCACTGAGCTGAGGTGATATCAATGGCATCTTCCTTGGAGAGGCAGAAAGGAAAAGGCAAGGCGACACCAGAAGATGGCACAACGTTGTCAGCTCCTAGCAGGAAACGAGTGCGGTTCGCAGGCGCGGGAGCAGAGGCATCAGTAGATGATTCCTTTGCTCCAGGATCAGGCCTTTCTTTCACCTCCGGCCGAGTTTGTTCATTGGCAAACCGAGGTCGTGTGCACGCTGGCGCACCCACTAGTTCGGGGAGAATCGCGGCGACAGCTTTTCCTGATCATGCAAGCGGTGTAGGAGATGCTAATAGGCCTGACGGTGTGGGAAAAGGCTTGTTGGAAGATAGATCTTCGGATAAGCAGATGTCTTCGGATGACCTTTCAAGAAGGATCACGGTTTTTGACCACATTGCGTCTGCCATGCCGACGGACGCGACTACTTTTGACTTCAAAAACTGCACTGCCGTACCAGCATCTGATCACGAGAGAGGCTCCCCGTCGCAATCCCTTGAAGGTTCTGACCCTCCTTCATCTATATCTTTCGAAGCGTCTGTTTCTGCAAAGGCCTCATCTGATGTGAGCCGTGGCCTCGCGATACAGCTGCCGAATGATCTGACGGACCTCAGATGGGGCCAGGACAACGCAACTTGTGCCAGCAGCGCCAACGACGGAATACTCAGTCCTGACAATGGAGATAGCAGAGGAGGTGATGGTGATGAGAAGCCGCATGAGGTGCGGAGTGTGTCTATGAATGAGAGCTTGATGCAGCAGATGGAGGATTTGATATCCATGGTGCCCAGGCTGCAACTGGAAAGGAGTCGGAGCGAGATGGAGATTATTATGAAGCGGAAACATGTACTAGGTTCGTTCTTGGGTACGCCTAAGTCGGGGAAGTCGCCGCAGATTATCCTTCCCAGGACTCGAAGTTTCTAGATCCCGCATCAGCATGCACTGCCTTTTAACAGGTGCGAACTAGGATTTTGATGCAGCGTCTACACAGATGTAATCCTTCTGTGCCCTACTGGTTTGAGGCCAATTGGGTTCCAGAGGTTGTGTTTAATTAGGTAATGCTAGTGCTCAGGAGCTGTAGTATCTAATTGACAGCTTCAATCTACTAGGGCATCATTATTTGGCTGAAGCTGAGAAGGGCTGTTTGTTATTGGCACTTCTGCTGCACATAGCTAGCATCTAGTGCTGAGCATCTGTGTGATAGGTGAGGGATGCTGCGTTTTTAGGTGTCTAGATTGCATTACGCTCAGCCAGGAATCAGGTGGCGCCATATATATATGGTGGTGGTGGTGTCTGCTAATCATAGCAATTATATCTGGAAGAAGTTGCTATACAGATCCAGACTGTAGGTGTGCTTCCTCAAATACCATAGTACTGGTATGGTACACACATCGTGAAGTACACAGTTTATGCAAAGAAAAAACAGTACCGTACATGTACTTCTCCATTGTACCGTATCATGTGCATGAGTTATCCGGACATGACTGCTGCAAACAACAATCTGGCCGTTTATTCAGGTGCTTCATTCATTTCCTCCTGTATTGAACAACCCACGGATGCTTCAGCACCTCTTCAGCAGACGGCCTCTGCCTAGGTTCCACGGCCAGTAGCATTTTAACCAGGTCCTTGGCTTCTGATGACACTCCCTCCCAAGCTCTTGTATCCATCTTTCCCACACCTTTCTTCCCCAGACGGGCCTGAGACCGCCGAGAGTCAGCCATGAATGGAAGTGAACCCGAAAGGAGGGAGAAAAGAATAACCCCCAGAGACCACATGTCGGCTTTGAACCCATATTTACACTGCTGAAGGACTTCTGGTGCTTGGTAAAGCCTGCTGCCAGCAACACCTGACGCGAGCTCTCCAGGGGAGAGCGAGACTGCAGAGCCAAAATCCGCAAGTTTGACGAGTGGAAAGCAGCAGAATTTGCTGGAGATTCTGTCTTTAGAAGATTCTGGAAAACACAGCAATATATTCTCAAGCTTGAGGTCGCGGTGTAGAACCCCATTCAAGTGACACACCAATACCGCGTGTACAATCTGCTCAAAAATTGCTGCTGCCTGTTCCTCCTCCATCCCTCCACAATCTCGGGGTGAACTCAGAGATTCTCTTTCCCCGAACGTTCCTCCCAGCTCGCCGTCTTCAGAGGACGAGTATGACGATAAGCTGTGAGCATCGTTATCTCTTAAGTAACCTGAATGGTCTGCGCCCTGATTTGCGCGGCCGCCAGCAGTGGTTTCGCACAACAGGTCGTACAGCTCGCCGCCGTTACACTTCTCCATAACGACAAAAATCGCCGCCCTGTCCTCGTATACGTCCACGAGGGAGACCACGTGTGGATGGCCGGCGAGCTGCTGGAGAATCTTCACTTCTCGCCGGATAGCCGCCTCTTCCGCACGACGGTTGCGCATTTCATCTTTCCGTATCACCTTGCAAGCGTACGCACGATCGGTGCGGCGGCTGACACACTCCCGCACAACTCCATAGCTCCCCCAGCCAAGAAATTTCCCGAGAGAATAAGCTGCGGAGAACTCGCGTGCGCCTTTGGGGCTCACGACGCGCGCGGCGGCTTGGGGGGAGCGGGAGGCGGAATCAGTGAAATCCCCGCGCCTTTTGTGCCGCTGCGCTCTGCAGTAAGGGGAGAGGAGCTTCCCGAAGAGCATAAGAGTGCGATAAACCCCGCTGAAATAATCCCATTCACTCGAATTGGGTCTGCCGTGGCCTGGAGGGAAGTCGGATGGTGCTGTATCTGACGCGATATCCTCCACTAACGGCGAGGACGGTCGAGGGTCGTCTGTCGACGTGTCAATAGACAGATGTGCGAAGCGAGAACGGTCGAGCGTTGCTCTTGTGCCTGTCTGCGTGTGGGAGGCCATGGTTGTCTTGCAAGTACAACCGAGTTGCATGACGCTAGACACCCAGTTCTTGGTGAAACACATATCTTTTGGACCAAAACAACTCTAGCCCGGCCAGCACCTAATGCTTTCACTTAGTACCGTACTCAACCATGTATAAACTATACGAACATTGCCCGAAGGTACACAACCGTTTCGTCTTGAACATGTCCACCATCAAACCCAGTCAAGCGCCAAACGCCTGAGATGAACAACGCCTGAGAAGAAACGCGCTCCGAAAACCTTCTTCCCGTCCGTTGATCATTGACTGGCGTGACACAAGGATGACTGGAAAACGTCGCAAGGTACATCATAGCATTTCGTGCACAACAGAATACCATCTAACCAGTATGTTATATGCAGAAAAGGTTTTGAAACCTTCAGGATCAAACTGTACCATACAAAACCAGAAGTTCATGACATTCCGTGATGTTGACAGCAAATTGCATCGCAATACAGTTACATTTCCGTGACAAGTAGGAGCTGGCATTGCGATCGGGGTATGGGTGGAAAAGATAGGAAGGGGGGTACCACTAGCTGCTGCAGCAACCTCCGCCTAAGTAACGGCCTCGAAACAGCTGTCAGTGCCCGTTACGTGACGTTCAATTCAATCCATCTGTCTCGCTTTTGTGAAAAAAATCAGTGGTGACGGAATGTGACCAGAATGCCATGGATCGCGTATAGGTACATGGTATCTAAACCGCTAAATAGCTAGTATTTTGCAAAAAACTATTAGATTAGTGATGTTACGAATGCAAGGAAAAGAGCGTAAATTGCACCATCAAAGATGGTAACGGTAACGCGATCAACGGGGTGCCCGACATGTCTAGCGCGGAGGTTGGGAATTTTATAAGTGTAGTGACGAACCATGAGTTACCAGCCGAGCGGTATGGTTTGAACGCAACGGTGTTGGTGGCGGCGGGGATACTAATCAAGGCGTACATCGCGAGGTGGTAACGGGGACATTGTTTTATCATAATGGCAGAACAGTGCTGTGCACGGTAGAGGTGAAGTGAGGCGTACGGAAGTGCGTGAATGTCGCAGGACTTCCAACACGAAATACAGTTTCCTTAAACTACCCCCCTCCCAGAGAGAGGCGTTACGAAAGTGCATGAATGTCGCAGGAATTCTTGCTGCAAAGATAGTCAGCAAAGAAAGAGCTATTCATAATTTTGACAAGGAAAAGAGTTTTCTTCAGTCGCTGTTCGGTCTTTATAGCGAAGTATGAATTTGATGCGGTGGGCTCAAGCCCCCAAATTGGTTTTAAGGTACCCTGATCACTTAGTGTAATTTAGAGGTGAAACGGCGTATTAGTCAGTGCTCCAACCCGCTATATACAGATTTTACAGTCAAGACGAAGTCGTAACACACTTGTACAAGGATTCGTAAGAGATTGATAGGTACAGTATCAAGGTGCAAATGACGGCGACATTGCTAGATACTAAAATTTATGTTTCAGGGTTTTACTCGTCACAAGATTGATTCATCAGTGTATACTAAATGAAAGAATAAGTGCCCCCAAAAACTAAAAACCGAAAATTTCGTGTCAGGAAATCAAATAACGCGAACAATTCAGGGTCAGTAACCCCCGCCACCACTCCCACCACCACCCCCACCCCCTCCACTGCCTCCACCACCACCTCCACCACCCCCGCCAGCCCCTCCAGCGCCCTTGCCCCCCTTGCCCTTGCCGGTGCGGCGTCTCCCGCTAGGGGCAGACGCAGCGCCAACCGACTCGAAACCAACGAGGTCGGCCGCAGCAGCAGAAGCAACAGAGGGCAAGAGGGGGGAGGGGGAACACCCCTCAAAGACGGGGGTGCGAGGGTCACCACGAGAGGCTCCTACAGCGACTATGCTCTTCTCTGCTGCTAGGAGGCGCTCCTCGAGGAGGTCAACGGTGAGTGTGGTGGGGCAAACTGAGAGGAAGTGGTCCCTGACTAAGCGAAGGGAGTCAGGGAGCCGGGTGACTATGTAGTAGAGGGTGATATACATGGGGGGGGGGGTTCTTGGCACAGAACTCAGCAGGAAGCGCAGCGCGGTAGCGAGTGTCACTAGTGCGAAGGTGCGTAATGAGGTCAGCGACTGTGGGAAAGGCAGCAAGGTCAGGGAACAGGTACGGCAGCATGAGGCGGCTAAGCGCAGCAGTGGCAGGGGAGGAGTAGCGTGCAACTACAGCGTCGTACAAGGTCTTAGCACTCTTGTACTGGCTAAAGTGCGCACGCTCAGTGTTCGGTAAGTGGCGACGCACAGCAAGGCGGGCAGCAGCATCGCGTGTGGCCCACTGTGAGCGAACAGTGCTGTCAGCTAGTAGCAGGCGGGGCAGGAGAGGCACCAGAGGTGAGATCGAACAGGGAGAGTCCGTCTGCCCTATCGCACTGTAGGAACAGCTGGAGGTCATCGACCCAGACCTCAAAGTCAATAGCACGGCCCTCAGCATCAAAGGTAAGGACACTGGGGGTAGCCATGATTGCAGTGGCCTAGCAGGGAGTGAGCTCACGATTCCGAGTAAGTAGGGCCGGGGCGCGCCCGGTAGGAACAGTAGTGGCTCGACGGCAGGGCGGCTTGGCGGCTCGGCTGCTCGGCGGCTCGGCGGCTCGGTTGCTGGGCGACTCGGCGGCTCGGCTGCTGGGCGGCTCGGCGGCTCGGCTTTTGGGCGGCTCGGCTGCTGGGCAGCTCGGCGGCTTCGGCGGCTCGGCTGCTGGGCGGCTCGGCGGCTCGGCTGTTGGGCGGCTCAGCGGTGAAGGGGCCGGTAGAGGCAGCGACGGGGCCAGTAGAGGCGGCGACGGGGCCGGTAGAGGCGGCGATGGGGCCGCTAGGGGCGGCGACGGGGCCGCTAAGGGCGGCGAGGTGGCCGCGAAGGGGGCAGCGACGGGGCCGCTAGGGGCGGCGACGGGGCCGTAGAGGGGCCGCAAGGGGCCTAGAGGGGCGGCGACGAGGCCGCGAAGGGGCCGTAAGGGGCCTAGAGGGGGCGGCGACGGGGCCGCAAGTGGCGGCGAGAGGGCCGCGAAGGGGCCGTGAGGGGCCTAGAGGGGCGGCGACGGGGCCGCTAGGGGCGGCGACGGGGCCGTGAAGGGGCCGTGAGGGGCCTGTAGGGACGGCGACGGGGCCTAGAGCGGCGGCGACAGGGCCGTGAAGGGGCCGCGAGGGGCCTAGGGCGGCGGCGACGGGGCCTATAGCGGCGGCGGCGGGGCCGTGAAGGGGCCGCGAGGGGCCTACAGCGGCGGCGACGGGGCCTAGAGCGGCAGCGACGGGGCCGTGAAGGGGCCGCGAGGGGCAGCGACGGGGTCGCTAAGGACGGCGACGGGGCCGCTAAGGGTGGCGCGAGGGGCCTCTAGGAGGGCACAACGTGAGGGCGACCTACGGGGCATGCCTCGGGCAGGAAAAAAGGTCGAGTTAGGTGGTGGGCCCTGAGAAGCGTTCCCACGAGGGAACCTGCTCTATACCATGTGAAGAATGAGGAATGAATGAATTAGCACAAGGTTGGGTACAAGTAGGAAACCCTAGGAAAGTGTACCCCATAGTGTCTACCCCACTATAGCCTAGACAAGCTATATGATATAAGTTTGGCACGATGTTATTCGCCCCTTTCTTGTACATGATGTGGTAGGTGAAGTGGCTCTCTATGTAGTTCAGCCACCGAATTCGTCGTGGGTTGAGGTTGGGCTGGGCTCGCAGGTACTGTAGGGATTTTTGGTCCGTGCGAACAGGTCACGTCAACACCCACTAGTGAGAAACTTAGAACGAGAATGGATTGACTAAGGAATGAAAGTGATACAAATATGAAACCCTAGAATTATGTACCCCTTAGTATCTAGCCCGCTACAGCCTACACAGGCTAGATCATAAAAGTTTGACACACCCCCATAGGCAAAGTGGGGGAGAACAAGAGGTCACAAGACCAGTCAAGCAAAGCAAGGCAAAGCAAGCTCAGGGTGGATCACAACGTCACCAAACATTCTGAGCACAAGTTCAAGGCCACAAGGCCAGTTCACATGCATGAGTACACACATATATATAACGCTAAACAAGCAAGAGCAGGTATATATATATAAATGTAATAGTACAAGCAAGGTCAAGAAGTGAAGCAAGTGAGGCAAGGTAGGTACAAGACCTAACAGAGTACAGAAGCGCTGATGGTCACAAGGCGCAAGTGCCTTGGTGAAGATATCAGCAGTGTTGGCCTCAAAGGCCACGTAAGCAAGGCGCAGCTGACCTCGCTGTTGCAGCTCACGAGCAAGGAAGTAGCGAAGAGCGATGTGCTTCGTTCTGTGCTCCAGTCTGTGCTCCCGACACAAGGCCAGCATAGCCTTGTTGTCTACGTACAGAACTCGAGGAGAATGAGGCGACTCTCCTAGGTCAGTCAGCAGGTAGGTGAGCCAGCGTAGCTCCTGTGCAGCCATGGCCCCTGCGTAGATCTCAGCCTCACAACTGGAGCCGAGAACAGAAGACGAGCGGGTAGACCGCCACGAAACAGAGCCGGAACCAAGGCTGAAGGTGTAACCCTGTGACGACCGCTGCGTAGCCTGGTCGTCAGCCCAAGAAGCGTCTGCGTGACCAGTGAGGACCACTGGACTCCGCCCTCCTAGCACAAGCCCCATGCCCGACGTACTACACCAGTAGTGCAACACCCTCTTCGCTGCACCCATGTGCTCTGGTCTGTGTCTCCCAGGAGCAACATAGCGTGCCAGAATGCTAACAGGGTATGCAAGGTCAGGTCGAGTGCAGGTCATCAGGTACATGAGGCAGCCAACAAGCTCTAGGTACGGGCCACTCGACTCTACGGACTCATCGGAAGGCAGAGCTGCGAGCGAGTGGCAAGTAGACAGAGGAGTGGCCTGAGGCGAGGAGTACGTGAAGCCGAAGCGGTGAAGGACCTGCTGCACCATGTGTGACTGAGTCAGGGTAATGGTGCGCTGTGCTCTGTCCCGAGTGATCCTCAAGCCAAGGTAGCTGCGTAGTTCACCCAGGTCTTTGCACGTGTGTCTCTTCTGCAGCTCGGACTTCACGTGGGCTAGTCCAGCAGTGTCAGCTGTGGCAAGACCAAGTCGTTGACGTACACGAGGATGTAGAACGGCGGCAAAGAGGTGTCGGTGCGTAGAAACAGCGACGGGTCGGCAGTAGAAGGAGCAAACCCAAGAGCCGCAAGTGTAGTCCTCATTGTGTCGTGCCACTCACGAGGTGCCTTGGCGGAGACCGTAGACTGGCCGCCGGAGGCTCCACTGGGTACCAGGAGGAAAAGACCCAGTGAAGCCAGGTGGGCGGCGCAGCCAGATCTCCTCGTGCAGGCTTGCCCTGCAAGAAAGCAGTGCTGAAGTCAAGAGAGTGAAGCTCGTAGTCACGGTGAGCGGCTATGTGCAGCAGTACCCAAAGAGTGGTCATCTTCGGGGTGGGAGAGAAGGTCTGAATGTAGTCAACTCCCTGCCGCTGACTGAATCCACGAGCCACGTAGCGCGCCTTGAAGACAGGCGGAGAACCCGGCGGCCGCTTCACCCTGAAAATCCACATGCCACTGACGATGTTCTCCCCAGGAGGGGGAACCTCGTCGACGTAGGTGCCTGTGGACTTCCAGGAAGCCATCTCTGCATCCATGGCTGCCTGCCACTGAGAGGAGTAGGGACCCTCTATCGCCTCCGCGTAAGAGCGCGGAGTCGGGATGTCTGGTGCATCCGGGTCTCCCTCAGGGGCAAGCAGCATGGACACGAGATGAGGTGAAGCAGCAGCAAAGCACTGGAACTCCTCCTGCGTGTCCTCAAGGACGTCCGTGCCAAGGGCACACTCACCCCCGACGGACGGAGGACAGACAGACTCAGACTCAGCGACAAGACTAGCAGCGTAGTCTAGGCGACAGCGAGCAGCGAAGTCGACAAGCTCAGAAACTAAGGCAGCGCAGCAGCGGACTCAAAGGAAGGGTCAGTGACGACAGTAGTAAGGAGACGCGTGATAGTAGGACTGGCAGCACGAAGGGAGTCCGACTCCGGGTCAGCAAGAACTAGGAAGAGAGGACTCAGGAGGAGAAGGCAAAGGGGCACGCAGCGGAGCAGTGGAAGGGACGCAGAGACATCCGGTGCGTGCCGGGGACAGGGGGAGGACGCTGACGCGAACCACGACTACTAGTGTGAGCAGCACGGACAGGCGACGCAGGACGAGACGCAGGCTCAAGACGCTCAGCAAGACCTCCAGTAGGACCAGTGTAGGGAGAAGGAGCAGGCAGAGGAGAGGTATGCTGTAACTGTGACTCGGACTGGACAGGCGGTGGACACTCTAAGGGAGGAGCCGGACTAGCAGAGGGCGGAAGACCAAGAACCTGCTCAAGGAGCGGAACGAAGTACGACCGCGGCCGCTCAGCACCACCAGCACCAGAAGGGACAGCACCAGCACCCCGAACGACAGCACCAGCGCCAGCAGCACCCCCAGCTCCAGCAGCGCCAACTTTAGTACCCTCAAAGGCACCAGCACCAGAGGCACCCCCAGCGCCAACACCCCCAGCAGCTCCAGCTCCAGCCGGACCACCAGAAGACGCAGTGGGTCCAGCTCCAGCACCCTCAGTAGCACCGACGCCCGCAGCACCACCAGCTCCAGTACGAGAAGCACCCGCAGGCCCAACAGCTCCAGTACTCCCAGTACGAGCACCTCCGGGACCCGCGGCACCAGCACCCTCAGCAGCAACAGAACCTCCAGCACCCGCAGCAACTCCAGCTCCAGCAGCTCGCCTCCAGCGCGGGGCAAACCACTCACGCAGCTCCTGTGGAGAGAGTAGTTCCCGCCGGGACGAAGCACCCGAAGAACCTCCAGGCCCAGCACCGCCAGATGCCACACGAGCAGGTCCAGTACCCTCAAACTCCGCACCCCCAGACGCAGCACCCCCAGGCTCAGCACCCCCAGACGCAGCACCCCCAGGCGTAGCACCCCAGGCTCAGCACCCCCAGAGTCAGCACCCCCAGGCTCAGCACCCCCAGACCCAGCACCCACAGGCTCAGCACCCCTAGCAGCACCAGAGTCAACAGCTACCTCGACAGGCTCGACTGTGTCTACCTGAGACACACCTGAGGGGGCAGTACCCTGTGGGGGGAGGGGGTCAACTGGAGGGGGACCTGGCGTAAGGAAGAGCGGCGGGGGGGGGGAGGGACGCAGTGCGGTAGGGGAAGAGACGGTAGTAGGGAACCGACTCGTCAAACATGACGTCCTGGGAGGACAGAACACGGCGCGAGGTGGGGTGGTAGAACTGCCAGCCCGGCGCGTCAGGGGGGAAGCCAAGGAAGACGCAGGGAACAGCACGAGGGGACAGCTTGTCCGTAGACAAGTCGCGGACAAACGCCCGAGATCCCCAGACACGGAACGCAGATGTATCGCCAACCTTCCTCGTCCACAGCAAAGTTGGGGAGGTCTCCGGCATGGAGACCCGGGGCTGAAGGTTGATCTGATGCGCCGCGTACCGAACCGCAAACGGCCACAGAAAATGGGGGGC